TCATGGAGAGGGGGTGTTTGCATGGAGCTTAGAGGACTGCATGGTCTACTGCATGTACTGTCTGCTAAACTAGAGATCTACAGGTCTCAGTTACTGTCACTTTTCTTACCATCCACTGTTACTCATTGCTTGCTCTGTCTTACAGTCTATTGCTACTCCTCAAAATGGAAAAGAAAATAACTAGAGAAACTACCTTGAATAGATCAGAGAGAAGAAAACAACTACCCTCAGACTTCATCCAGTGTCCTCATTTAGGTGGATACAGCATAGTGTTGAAGAGCCCAACTCCTACCCACCGCCTGCTAGCTGTGCAGTTTGGGGAACTGGAGGCCTCGGTTCTTTCAACTATAAAATGATAAAATATATGCCTCCTAGGCATTTTTGTGTGGATTTAATGGGACTGTCTATGTAAAGTGTTTAACTGGGTTCCTGGGCCATAAGGACTTAATAATCAATAAATGACAACCGTAATTAATAGGTGCTATAACTCTCTAACACATATATATGGATGAGTGGTATGCATTTGTCTGGAACATCAGAACATTAATATTGGTTCTGAATTTTAGAGTGAGCACTTATGACTTGAGAGCTCTTCAGCAAAATCAGTGCAGAAATGTAGTTGCAGTTATTGAAGGCATAATGGTGACCAAACCCCCCCATTTGAGGGTAGCTGAGCTTTTTTTTTTTACCTGAGCTGTTCTCTTACCTCCTTACTACCCTAGGTAACTGCCCAAGTTGTAGTTAATCCAGTATTTCTTGATAAGGTACAAAAAGTGTTCAGGAGGAACAGTGTGACTCTGCAGAGCCTACCGTAGACTTTGCCTCTCAATAACAAATGTTCACTTTTACCCAACCATGAATTTTCTGGGTGACTACCACTAATACTTGTATGCTTCGTTTGAATTTTAGTTACTACAGCTGAAATACTCAGGGTGACCTATAATAAAGGCCCTGGATCAGAAATACTCAGGAAAAAAAAGTAGAAAGCTACCTGGGTTATATGAGTGATTGCTTTCTTTAACTTAGTAACTTAAATGTTGTGTTAAACATTGCGGAAAAAAATTACTGTTAAATTTGCCTTTGGCGTCTGTTTTTATCTGATGACTACTGAGAATTGGGTAACTTCTCTTTAGGTTGTACATGACCGAAGAGTCAGTTGGCCTTTTTATTTTTAGTCATCACGTGAGCATCTAGGTCTAAGCTGAAGAGTAATTTAGGTTAGGCCAGGAAAATTCTTTCCATTGTATTTCCTCTCGGAATTTTTTGTCTCATATTAATTACATAAGAGTATATAAATATAGAATAAAATATCCATAGATGTAAATATTAACTTCTGCCTTTAGTTACTTAGGAATGTTTTTAAAAGAATAAACCGTTTTAAAAGAAGGGACTATATACTCAAGTAAATAAAAAAAAATTAGGAGATATTGAGAAAATTATTCACTCAGTATTTCCAATACTTAGCATGGTTTGAGGACCACTTCATGCCCTAATTAAACGAGAATATGCATTGAGCTCATACCCCCTACACATTATGAAATCTGAGATAAATTGCACTAAGCAAATGGACTGAATCCATTTAAATATAGAGTTTTAGCTTTTTTAAATACAGTGTTATATTAGAATCATAATGGGTTAAACTTAATTACTATAGTATGAGGAAACTGATGGGAGATGTTTAGGGAACCAGTATGAGAAAACAAGGTTCTTATAGCACCTTAGTAAAAAGTATAGGTATTACTCTTAAATGGAGTGGATTTGTGTCTATTACCCAGCCACCCCCTTTCTTTAAAAAAATATATATATTTCCAAAATATTTTTAATGATTTAGTTTTAATTCTTAAATTTATTTTTAATTATAGTGGACATAACAATTTATATTAGTTTTAGATATACAATAGTGATTCAACATTTATACACCTCATGAAATAATCACAATAAGTCTGGTAATCATCTAATACCATACATAGTTATTACGATATTTCCTATGCTGTACATTATATCTCCATGACTTACTTTATAACTAGAAGTTTTTCCTATTTAATCTCCTTCCCCTTTTCTGTCCATCTTCCCACCACTCTCCCTTTTGGCAAACATCAGTTTCTTCTCTGTATCTATGCATTTGTTTCTGTTTCGTTTTGTTTGTTCATTTGTTTTGTTTTTTAGATTCCACATATAAGTGAAATCATACAGTATTTGTCTTGTCTGACTTATTTCACTTAACATAATACTCTCTAGGTCCATCCATATTGTCTCAAATGGTACAATTGCATTCTTTTTTATGGCTGAGCAATATTCCATCGTACATATACATATACATACATATACACATACATACATATACACACCCCCAAATCTTCTTTATCCATTTATCTATCAGTGGACACCTAGGTTGCTTCCATATCTTGGCTACTTAGAAATGTTTTTAAAAGAATAAACCGTTTTATTCTTAGCTATTGTAAACAATGCTGCAATGAACATAGAGGTACATACTGTCTTTTCGAATTATTTTCATTTTCTTCAGATAACTACCCAGAAGTAGAATTGCTGGGTCGTATGGTAGTTCTGTTTTTAATTTTTTGAGGACTCTCTATACTGTTTTCCATAGTGGTTGCACTAGTTTACAATCCCACCAACAGTACAGAGTTCCCGTTTCTCCACATCCTCGCCAACACTTATTTGTTGTCTTTTGATAATAGCCATTCTAACGTGTGAGGTGGTAGCTCATTGTTGTTTTGATTTGCATTTTCCTATTGATTAGTGATATTGAACATCTTTTCATGTGTGTCTATTGGCTATCTGTTTGTCTTTGGAGAAATGTCTTTTCAGGTCCTCTGCCCATTTTTTAATTGGATTGGTTTTTTGATGTTGAGTTTTATGGATATTTAAATATGTTTTGGATATTAACCCCTTATTGGAAATATTTGTCATTATCTTCTCTCATTCAGTAGGTTACCTTTTCATGTTGTTGATGGTTTCTTTCACTGCACAAAAGCTTTTTAGTCAGATGTAGTGTCATTTACTTTTGCTTTTGTTGCCTTAGCCCGAGGAGATATATTCAAAAAATATCACTAAGACCAGTATCAAAGAGTTTACTCTGTGTGTGTGTGTGTGTGTGTGTGTGTGTGTGTGTGTGTGTGTGTAGGAGTTTTATGGTTTCAGGTCTTAGATTTAAATCTTTAATCCATGTTGAGGTTATTTTTGTATATGGTGTAAGAAAGTGGTCTAATTTTTTTTTTGCATGTACCTGTCCAGTTTTCCCATTACCATTTACTAAAGAAACTGTCTTTTCCCCATTGTATATTCTTGCCTCCTTTGTTATAGATTAATTGACCATATAAGCATGGGTTTATTTCTAGGTTCTCTGTTCTGTTTCATTGACCTTCTTATCTCTTTTTATACCAGTACCATACTGCTTTTATTACTGTAGCTTTGGAGTATAGATTAAAGTCAGGGAGCATGGTGCCTCCAGTTTTGTTCTTCTTTCTCAAGGTTGCTTTGGCTATTCAGGGTCTGTTGTGGTTCCATATAAATTTTAGGATTGTTTGTTCTAATTCTGTGAACAATGTCATTGGTATTTTGATAGGGATTGCATTGAATCTATTGATTGCTCTGGGTAGTATGGGCATTTTAACAATATTAATTCTTCTAATCCATGAGCACCCCAGCACCCCCCTTTCTGCATCAGCAAACATCCAAGGGTCCTTCCTGTAAACACAGTTACGCTATATTTGGGACCTGTGTACATGAATTATTCCCAACGCTCCTGTTATGACCTGGCCTCAAGCTCTGAGTGATGAACATTGGGACTAAGGATTAAAATATGGTTAGATCTCTTTAAGTATAGACCAACAACAGAACAACTCATAATAGGGATACAAAACTGACCACTTCGGGGTGTTAGCAGTATTACATGCATGCTCCTTGTTTTACATGAAAATAGAGATACCTAGTTAAATTCCTTTTCTTGTTCATCAAAATACTTATCAGCTTTTACTTATCTTTCATAAAATTTGCTTTTAGTTAACTAACCTCAGTCCATATGCACAAAGAAGGGTGTAGATCAGCCTTTCGTCATTTACCTGGCAGTGGTGCATTCTTTTTAAAACCTGGTGCTGCATGTTAATTTTCCTTTGCTTTTAATAGAAAACAATATATTCCATTTTGTAATGATGCATGACTCAGTCATTGCTCATTGTCTTCCCGCTGTGGGTTTTTTTTCCTTGAGCCAGCAAGAAAATCTTACGTGAGAGGAGGAGAAACCGAGACAGAGTTGAGGAACACGGTACTTAAATACTGTCGCTCGCCTCTCATTGGCTCTCTCCTTTCTTACGGAGCCCAGTCCCACCGGCCTCCTGTCAGGGCCCTCCCCCCACCCGCCAGGGCTGCACCGGGTATCTGTTGCTAGAAGCTGGTTGCAGGCAGTATGTAGGCATCTTTCATTCAGAATGGACGTTAATATATTCAGTAGCGAAGAAGGCTTTTAGAAATGTGTCATTTGTCAAAATTGGATGGCTTTTAAAAAGGAACAGAGAGATGCTAAATGTTTTGTATGTTAGCACCGACTCTTTATTTCTGTTCAGACTCAAGTTTTCAGAAGCTTAAATATAGAGCCCTTTAAAAAAAAGGAAGAAGGAAGAATTTTTCTGGTTAGCCGACCTCTTTTTAAGAAGTGCTTCATCATCCCCCACCTCTGCGATGCTCCTCGGCAGCTCTCTGTAGGTTAGGGTTCTGTGTGCTGGCAGAATGCTCATTTGTTAGCTGAATAGAGTTCATCGGCAGACATAGATCAATATAGGTTTTATTTTTTCCTGTGAATTCCAAAAATGCCATCCAAAGAGTCTCGGTCGAGTAGGAAAAGTAATAGAGCTGCAGCTCGCAAATCAAAACAAGAGGGCCGTCAGCAAGATTTATTGATAGCAGCCTTGGGAATGAAACTGGGTTCTCAAAAGTCGTCTGTGACAATCTGGCAACCTCTGAAACTCTTTGCTTATTCGCAGTTGACATCACTTGTTAGAAGAGCAACTCTGAAAGAAAACGAGCAAATTCCAAAATATGAAAAGGTTCACAATTTCAAGGTAAGAATATTTTTTTAACCTTTTCTTGTAAGAAAGGAAATGTACATTACTTGAAATACACAATATTAAGGAATATCTGCTGATGTCTTTTTAAAACTAGGATGACCGGACTAAAATGTTCTTGCTATTTAAGGAATGAAGATGTTTTAAGCATGCTTTTAAGCAGAATAAAGCTAATAGAATCCAACCCCTTTCTCTAATGCTGATTTAGTATTCTGTTTAATCTGTGTATTTCAGTAGTAAAAGTATTGACTGATACTTGAAAGGTCTCATTTAATGATTTTGGCGTTATTTTTATTTGTGATGCAAATATGTCTGTCTTTTTTCGGGTGTTTTGTGAGAGGATTAGATCTTATCTCTGTTCCTTTTCGGTAAAAAGCTTTGGCTATAAGAGTCATGTGCTGTTGCATCTGGATGGAGCAGATGGTCTGCGTTCCCATAGTTTCTGTCTTCCTCCCCCGTTAGTGAATTGGCCATGATGAAAGGAGACTGCCTGCCGTGGGAATGCTGCGGCCGCTCACACCAGCAGCTTCTCTTCAGTTTCTGAGTATTTGCTTCCACCTTGTGTGTATGTAGTTCTGAATTACTGTGTTAATGTGTTTTTACCAACTATACTTTAATCATCTTTCATCAAAATGATGTGTAGTGTTGATTCAAGCTGTGTGTAGATCTTGTCTGTATTTTTAGCATGATATAAGGCCTTGAAGTTCAGTCCTTTGCAACCTAATTCAAAGAACATATAATGTGAGGCCATGCGTGAGACCCAGTTACACTTAATGGGTGAGCGGATGCTCTGGCATTTCTATAGTAACTTCCCAATAGTTAAACAACTTTATGAGGAAGTTCTTGAAACATGAATAATTTTAGTTTAGGGTCAATGTCATTAGTTTTGACATTGGAGGTATCTGGTTTCAAAAGATGGTAAAGCTTGAAACCCTGTTCTTACATTTGTTTATTAACTTATTCAACATTCATTCAACAGATAGAATGCACCAGGCTCTGTAGTTGGAAATTTAATTCCAAATTTGCCATTCATCCTTATTTTTAGCAGCAGCATTAATTTTACTCAAATGCTAAATACAAAGCTCCCAATATGCTCTGTTTTTTTCATAGTGAGGAATAGATTATGATATTCAGATAATTTGGGGATGAAAGATAAATTCCACAATGAATGGGCTGTGTAAAGATGTTAATATTTCAAAATAAACGAAATAGCATTTTCTTCTCCCTCTTTAATCTTAAGGCCTCACCTTTCAGCTGGTACCTTTGATTTAAAGTGACACTGAGACCATTTACTATGTGTATTAAGCCTCAACTACATTGTCCGTTTATGAACCTCAACAACACATGCAGGTTACTAAGCCTCAGCTTCTTGCACAATATCCAACTTGGTCTTACAGGATTTTTATGAGGAAAATGATCCCAAATAAGTCCTTTTGCAAATACAAAGTTTATGTGCTTGTTAAGTCACAGAAATAGCCATTAAGGTTCCTAAGCAAGAAACTAAGCATACTGCTTAGAAATAGCTGAGGTTTTAAAATATATTGCTAAAGATACACCCTCCGGTGTGTTCATCAGGAACAGACTGACCTATTAAGATGCCATTTTAGTGCTAAGTCAGGTTCACTGTACATGCTTGCTGTCAGTATTGGTTAACGGCAGAGAGTAGGTCTTTCCAAGGATTTGCATAGACAAGCATATATTCTCTATCTTTTGATTGTAGTTCAAGTAATTTCTCCATTTTAATTTAGCACATGGCTTTAATGAGGAAATTTTGTACAGCCAGAAAGTGCTGACCCTGGGACCAGTTGTGACTCTTTGCTTGGTACCCAAACTGTTTTAAAGATACTTGTCTTTAAAAAAAAAAAAAAAAAAAAAAAAGCACATTAAAAAGTAGAAGTCTGCTTCCTTCTCTGGAACTAAAAAATTAAAACCAGCTTGAGCAGACTATGCTCAGGAAAGAGCTTGTGTTAGTGAGTTGCATTACATATTTTTTAGAGTTGCTAATAGGTCAGAAGCCTCAGAACTTGACTCTTTCCATTGAAATTACTCTTTGTTATTTAAAATATGTTTCTGTAGGGTGGCATTATGAAAAAAGAAAAGGGGGGGTTATACTTGGCTTCCAAGAACATTCCCGAAAGAATTTAGACTCTGTGGCTGAAGCAGTTTTCTCCCACACAGATGTTCACTTAGAAGGTCACTGCTGTGATATGTAAGTGTATACTGTTCAGAGATTTATTGTGGGAAAAACCCTGGGCATTTACATAATAAGGGTTCACGTGGCCTTGCCATTGACTGTTTTCTATGTTGGTAAAGTGTATTCTGCCTAACCGCAAGCCCACTCACCAAAGCCTCGTTTCAGTGTGGTTTTCTTTTTGCTCCTTGAACTGCCTTGTTATGTAACGTTGCTCTGTGGTGTTGAACAGCTGCCAAACCTTTTTCCAGAGAGGGAAGCCAAGAGTGTCCTATACCTTGGTGAAAGCATTCACCAAGGTGAAAGCCAAAAACTAAATAAAAAATCAGCTGGGCCTACTTCCAGACAGGTGTTTGTTTTTAAGATTTTTTGTTTTGTTTTGTTTTGTTTTTAAGGAAGAGGAAAGAAATTAAACAAGAATGCTTCCCATTTTGCTGTGTTATGTAACGTGGTCTTTTTTTTTTCTGTTGTTTCATAAGGATTTGATAAAGAATTGACTGCAAGAAAGATCATTGTCTCTTTTGGGGGGTTATCATTTTAAAAATAAATGTACCACTTTTTTAAAAAAATGATTAACCTGTAAGTTGTCAACATAACTTAGAGAGGAAATAATTTTAACTGTCTCCTGGATCAACCTCTCCTGGATCAGTCTCTCATTTTAAGAACTGCCCCCATCCTGACACAAGAAAGAGCGAGCAAGCGAGCTCATTTCTGGAGCAGACTTTAAACAAAAAAACCTCTGATATTAAAAGTAAGATGCAGGCACCCCATCAGCAGTGAGTGCACCCACATCTGAGGCTCTCTGGGCAGAATGATAACTGCCCCCGCCCTTGCCCTCAGGAGCTTGCTTATTATTTGTATGACTTTGGCAGATTGCTTCATCTCTCTAAACCTCTGGTTCCACATCAGAAAAATTGAGTTCCAGGTATATGTAGGTACATGGTATTCACTATTTTTGTTACTACAAATTACCCCTAAATGGATAATGTTTCTGAATCCATACCAAGACTCTTTTTCTTGCCCAGTTACAGAGGTCATGATGCAGTTGAGAACCCCGGCATGATTGTGGGGGCCAAAAAAAGCTCTAGTTTCTTTCTTAAGCTCCCAGGCAGAGTTAGTTATATAAGAACAGTTGCATTTTCCTGCACCACAGAATATAGTGAAATCCTCTGTATCTCTTTTAGTCCCTCCAAATAAAACTGTTCAGTGTTTCATTTGGTATGTTTAATTCAGATAGCTCTATAAAATAAAATCAAGATTGCAGAAACCTGGCTACTTAGGCAAATTAAACAATTAAAAAGAAAACAACATTAAGAAGTTCAGTGAGTAGATAGTTTAAAATATGAGTTTAGTAAGTGAATACTTAATCTTTTTAAAGTTAGTCTTGAAGTAGTGACTGGTTGGTTTTAGAGTTTCAGATACTTGCATTCCGCATATAAATGGAAGATGTAACATATTATATTAATAGATTTAATGTTGCCAAGATAATATGCAAGCAGCGAATCCCAAAATGTGAATTGATGCTGCAATTAAAACACTGACATGAACCTTGTAATATGTAGTAAAATTACTGATTCAAGACCTACTGGGATAAAGCAATAATAGTGAATCTGTCAGTCCCGGCCAACAGACCAGACATCGTGTGTTTTGAAAAACTGAAGGGTAGGAATCACCAGCACTCCTGCTGAAAGTGCTCTTTTCTTTTCTTCTGAGGATACAGACAAATTCAAGCTCTATGGTCTTCATTCAATTCACATATGAGAATTAATACAAAACGAACTGGCAAATAAATAGATATAGCTTGAAACTTAGAGTTAAACTATGTGATCTGTAAGTTTTCTTATAGCTCTAAAATTCTCTGATTGAATTATAATGAGAAGTATTCAATTTGTTAATATATTGTTATCCATTATTAAAATTCTATTAAGGCCCGTATAGAGACCAAAGCAATCTTCAGCAATAAGAACAAAGCTGGAGACAGCACACTTCCTGATTTCAAAATATATTACAAAGCTATAGTAATCAGAACAGTATTAAAACAGACATATAGACTAATGGAACAGAACAGAAAGCCCAGAAAAAATCCATTCATCTACGGTCAACTGACCTTCAACAAGGGTGCTAGTAACAGCAAATGGGGAAACAATAGTCTTCTCAATAAATGATGTTGGAAAAACTGAATATCCATATGTACAAGAATGAAATTGGTCCCTTATCTCACAACATATACAAAAATCAACTCAAACAGATTAAAGACTTAAATATAAGCCCTGGAACAACAACATAAATTAAAAAAACAACTAGACAAAAACATAGGAAGAAAACTTCTTGACGTTGGTCTGGGGCAGTGGGTTTCTGGATGACACCAAAGCACAGGCAGCAAAAGCAAAAAAAGACAAGTGGGACTACATTAAACTAAAAAGCTTCTGCACAGCAAAGGAAACAACACAGTGAAAAGGCAGCCTATGGAATAGGAGAAAATATATGCAAACCATGTATTGGATAAGGGGTTAATGTCCAAAATATATAAGGAACTCATACAACTCAATAGCAAAAATCCAGATAACCCAATTTTAAAATGGTCAAAGGACCTGAATAGACATTTCTCAAAAGAAGATTATACAGTGGCCAGTAGGAATATGAAAAGGTGCCCACCGTCACTCATCAGCCTCACACCTGTTAGAGTGGCTACCAGCAAAAGACAAGATACCAGGTGTTGAAGAGGGTGTGGCGGAACGGGGAACCCTTGAGTACTGTTGGTGCAAATGTAAGTTGATTACAGCAATTACAAAAAACGGTATGGAGG